CTCTGCAGATCTGAAAGCCAGAGCAGGGGAGGGTGCACATCACCAGCATAGCCACTTGCTTTAATCTGCCCAATCACCTGCCTCTTCTGCTTTGGAAAACACAGAATATCCTGTAGAAGTGAGAGGAAGTGTTATTCTAGAAGCTCTTGCTCCAGAACATGAGACTAGGATTTGCTAGTGTTTCCCTAACTGACCTTTAGTTTTTGTTTTTTGAGACAGGGTCTCACTATGTAGCCTAGGCTGGCCTCAAACTTGCAGCGATCCGCCTGTCTCAGACTCCAGAGTGCTGGGATTATTGGCATGGGCCAGCATGCCTGGCCCTAACTGACTTTCTTGTCTATTTGTACTGGCAAATAGTTACTAGAAGTACAATTTTCTTACTAAACTAACACTGAACATTAATTAGTCAATACATTAGTCAGAAATCTTTGTTCTACATGGTTGATTTTGATCTAGAGAAAATGTTCTTATTCTTATCCCAGAATTCCATGGACGTCTTCTGGTCTTCTTTGAAGGACCCTTGGGAGAAAGAGTTCAAAGGAGGTCTATTGGTGGAGGCCAGAGGGTTGCATAGCAGCCTTAATACCATGCTGAGATCTGCTTTTCTGGGGGAATTAACCTAATATGTTGCCAATCACCTATGCCTGTTGCTTTTTTTTTTTACCAAAGATTGGGATTACACCGTCTGGTTGTTTGTCAGATCCTGCTAGGTCAGCCTACTTGGGTATAGCAAAAATCCCGGGAGCTTCAAGTGGTGGTGGAAATACTGATGTTTTGAAGTAGAGGCAAATGCAATGGAGAAGACGACCAGCCCTCAACTTCTCTGTTGCCCCTTTGCCTGTCTTTGAGAATATACCTTGCAGGCCCTCCCTGGCCTCCTCTTCTTTCCCCATACATCTTAGGAATCATGGTGAGACTGGGCTTGTATCAGAGCTGAACAGGAACACTGAGGTGCATGTGGGCAGAAGACCAGAAGCCAGAGGACCAGAAAGGTATCCAGACATCTAAAGGAGGGAAATGAGAAGCGTGGGTAAAATTTAAAATGAAAGTGGTGGTTTTCGATAGTAAAGCAGACAGGACTGTCAACAAGTACAAAATCTATGACTTGCTTTCTGAGAATACTGGGAAGATACACTTGTAGTGCATCAATTAGATGCAAGGAAAAATCATAAAGCCTACGCTAGTCCAGGTGCACAAAGGACAGCCGCTGGGCAGGAAGGGGACAAAGTCCTGCTTGTGCTGCTGCCTGGGGCTGGTCGCCTGGAGTAGGGTCGTGGCTCATTATGCTCTTTCAAGCATACTGTTGAGACTCACTGCAGTGCCTCAGTTTCATCAGCTCTGAAGTGAGGTGAAAAATACCATGCACAATTGTAGGAATGCACTCAGGATGTGGTCACATCATGGCAGCCACTGCTGGGAACAAGAACCCCAGCTGGTCTGGATACACACATCCCCAGTGTAGTTTCCAGGGAGCCTGAGGTGTACAGTAGCGCACACAGAATCCTTGAGGAACACAGCCACATCTGCTGTGTAGACAGGGCCCAGAACAAGTATGGCCCTGACAGACACACAGGAGAGTTTGGAAAGTCATTGGAGAGTTGCCAAAAGTAGCCCACGGTGACCGGCATGTGGGATTGTACAGAATAAGGAAGGTGAAACAGTTCATGTATCTACATGCTGTTCAGGCAGCTGGTGAATTTTATGAAATGTGTTGGTAAGTGTGTGCAGCATCAGATGTTACCACATTTTAACTGGTTTGGTTAGCACCTGGTTGACATCCACGAGGAAAAAGGGGACATAAAAGGACACATGCTAATGAGAGAGGTGTTATTTCCATGTAGTAGAGCTCATGTGGTCCTCTCGAGACTGGGATCCTGTCTACACTAAGGGGGTTGTGAGCCTCAGGGAGGTGTGGGTGTGAATCTGAGGGGCAAGTTTGCCACCCCTGCCCCCATGTCTGGGAGCCATTAAGTAGGAATGCTGGATCTGCAAGTCTTGAGTTCAGATCCGTCTCCACTGCTTGCTAGCCATGTGACTTCAAGGCGATCCCACAGGTGAAATGGGAGCAACATCGATTGGACAGTCTGGCTGTGGAGTTCAGGAAGATCATGTGTGAGAGAATTGAGTAACGTCTCATTTCCATTATCATAATAGCTAACCCACAGACATCCCCTAAATTCTTCAGTGTTCCACTCCCACCAGGAGCAGACACAGTTCTTAGTTTCTTTCACTGGCTATGCAGTCCTGAAAGAGCTCAGGCTTTGCATTCTGATTTTCATCCTCTAAGCCTTAGTTTTCTCTTCATTAAAATGAGAATAAGAGTAGCATCAAACTCAAAATAATTACATGAAATTATACAAGTAGGGTTTTAGCTAAGTACCCAATGCGTAACAATCACTCAATTAATAGGCACTGTTAGTAGTTTCATTTTATGAAGGACTTTGATCTACACTGTTAGGACTCACATACAAACTAATCTGTCTCATTAGCAGAATTAGTGAGAAGAAAGTAGGAGTGGCTAAGGTCATCCAGTTACTATGGTCAAGAAAGTCTAGGAAAGGACAAACAAATCTTTTATATTTTCAGTAGAGCTCCTCTGTAGCTCAACATGCTCTTTAAGAAAATATAACACTCGTAAAAACCTTGTGACTTCATCATTCTCCAAAAAGCAAACGACACACCAAATTTCTTTCATTTCTTGATTAATAAACTTTTTTTGTGAAATTGGCAGCTTCAGGGAAGGATAAGGAAATTGTTGTTTCACTTAGCTACACATTAAGAAAAATATACTGACTGATCAGCCAAACAAGTAACACGCAATTTTACTTATTGGGCATTGAAGTAGCTTAGGAGCTAACAACTGTTAAAAAGAACTAATGCCATGCAAAAATGCATTCAAAACAATGAGATCAGCTTGGTATATAGTCAGATCTCAAAGAGGTTATATCTTTTCTTTCTTGCAAGGGACTTTTAAGTGAAACTGAGATAGGACATAGGAAAATAGAATTTAGTACATAAAGGGTTAAAAAAGATCCTGTCATTTGAACAGTGCCTGCAGGGAATGTTGTAGAAATTCCTTTGGTTCACCCTTAAAGAACACTTCCAGGGAAAGGTGGGATTTTCATGTTTCTGCACACCACAGGAGCGGTAAGATAATGCCTGCTAATTAGCATCTGCTTGAGGCCAAAGAGCTGGAAAACCGTGTTCCAGGACATTGCAGATCAAATCTATAAATCTATAAAAAGAATCTGTTGGATGTTTGGCTGACAGAACATCAACCATAAAAGGATACTTTAATGGATTTCAACCATTATCTAAACACAAAATCACAGAGCCAAGTTTATGTGCATTGTTAATCAGATGCTGCAGATCTGGTAAAAGAAGATGTAAATGAATCATAAGATGAGATGTTTTTTCTTATTTGATTTTTGAAAAATCACTGAGAAGAGTGGTTGCATGGAGCCCCTCAGCTGAGGGAAGAACATGCTTTTGCTGGAGAAACAAAAGTGATGGCGCTGAGGAAGAACTCTACTGAGTCCTTGCTTTTGCTGATGTTTAAATTCGAAAAGGAAACATGTCACAGCCCAGAGGATTCTCATGTACATATTTATGTTGCTATGTGTATGTATATGTATTGTAAATCATCAGTCACTTTTAAATTTTAAATTGTACTAATGACCTAATTGTTAGGTATTTTAAATCAATCTTTAAAAACATTGAAAAAACTGATATAGACATGAATATTTTTAAAAAATAAAGATTTTTTAGCCAGGCATGGTGGCACATTCTAGCACTTCTGAGGGTGAGGAAGGAGGTTCATCATGAGTTTGAGGCCAGGCTGGGCTGCATAATGAGTTCAAGGCCAGCCTGAACTACCTAGCTGCATTCTGTCAAAAAACCAAACAAACAAAAAAAGATTTTTTGTTAAGGTAGGTAGTTTATAAAGATGGTAAATGATTATAAACTAAATGAAATTGGTAGCTTTCTGACATACCACATTCTCATCCAGAAAAAATAAAGAGAAAATATTCTCTTTACATTTGCAATGTAATGACACCTAATATCAAGTTAGACAGATTTGTAACAGGAAGTAGATAAATACAATTATGAAGAAATGGAGGAATGTACTATAGGCAATGTAAGCCTGACAGTTTGAAAGAAGTCAATTCTGTTAAAGTTTACTCTGTATGCATAGTAATATTCATCAAAATCCTTATATCTTGAGGTAAAGGTGGTGGGGAATTTGATGAAACATTCTAACCTTCACTTTGAAGAATAAACATGTAAAAAAACCTAGAAAAGTTCTGAAAAACCAAAAATATTAAAAAGGAGCATTGGGCCAGGGATTTAGCTTAGTGGCACTGTATCTGCCTCGCAAGAGCAAGGTCCTGAGTTTGATCCTGATACCAAAAAATATATATATACATATATATGTGTGTGTGTGCATGTGTGTGTGCTTGTAAAAAGGAGTATTGTTTTAGCAGATGCAAAATTGTATTGCAGAGTTGATGATATTTAAACCGTATGGTGCTAATTCAAAATATCAACCCTCAAACTCAAAACTCAGCTTTGTGCAAGGATTTGGCACATGAGAATGTTGGCCTCTTGATTCAGTGGGGGCCAGTGCATAAGGAAAAACCTGTCTGTACAATATGTAATCACTTGGGGAAAATGTCATCGCTACAGTGCTTTTACCTTATTTGTACTTGTTAAAAATTAAAAACTATAAAAATGACAGAAGAAAATATGAGCAACTTTTAAGAATAACATTGAAGTAGGAAAAGCCTCAGCATGACAGGAAAGTCTGAAACAATAAAAAACAAGATTAGTTAGTGTAACTATGAAAAATTAAATGCTTCTGAATAGAATAAACATCTCACCTGAGCTGAAAGTCAAAATGCCCAGTAAGATAAAGTGTTTTTCATGTATGACCTAGAGAGAACTGATTTCCTCTATATACAAAAATTCTTACAAATCAATCTGCTTGTATTCCCCAACAGAAAAATATGCAAGAACAAAAACAGAGCATCCATCTGGAGCGCCGGGTTTTCAAGATTGGGGGGACACCAGGATCAGACAAGAGGACAGGTATTACACTTAGGCATAAAAGTACAAAGCAGATTCTTACTGGAGGGAGGATAAAATGTTTTTGTAATGGTGAAAAGTATTTCAAGCTTTACCATGCTGTTGTTAGAAACACTTAACTGTTGTGCACTGAATGTGATTCTAATCTTTGTCAAGACTTTATGAAGTTTTTTGTTTTTTCAAGCTTAGGCCAACAGGATACTTTTGGTTCATATATTTGAGAAATCTAGTGGGGAGATACCATCCTTGGGTGTGGTTATGTCAAAGACCATGAACGCTATCCTCAAGACTCAAGTCTGGCCAACTTTGGTGTTGCTTTCCCTACCCTGGCTCCCTTCTCTGAACTCGCACTTGGCTTGATGGCTTCCGTTAGGTGGAGCTTTTCAACCCACAAAACTTAGAAACATCAGCAGAGAGTACCGCCTCCTTCCCCAGCTGTACATCTAACCCCCAGGGGTGCCCACTTGAACCACGTGACTGTCTCTGAGCCAATCACCGGTCAGAGATGGCCTGCGCTCATGGGTCAGCAGAACTACGATCTATCCAGAAGCCCATGGCTACCTCAGGCCTTCTGAGCGCGTGGGCCGGAAGTAGGGGGAAGTGGTTCCTAGAAACACCAGGGGGTCGCACCAGGAGAAAGAATGGATGCTGGGCACAAAGGGAACTTCTGGTTTGGGAAAAACTGTAGATTCCTATGCAGGTGTCAGAGACAATATCTAGAAATCCTTTTACCTGGTTTCCACGAGTAGTAAAATCTTACAAAACTGTAGTAACGTCACAGGCGGAATACTGACACCAACGCAGTCAAGATCCAAGGATTCATTCACTGCCAAGAAGTCATTTTTTCTTCTTTTAGATGCTCTTCCATTTCCCCTCTGTGTTTCCTCCATCCTGCACCCCCTGAGCCGCTCATCTGTTCTCCATTTCCATAATTTTGTAATTTCAATAATACCATATTATATACATGGAAGCCAGGTGTGGGGGTATGTGCCTGTGATCCCAGCAATTTGGGCGGCTGAGGCTGGAGGATTACTTGAGTCTGGGATTCAAGGCCAGCCTGAGAAACACCGCAGAGTTTAAAAAGAATATTATATAAATGGAAGTGTAGAGCTTGTAGACTTTTGGGAGTGTTTTTATCACTCAACGTGACTTTCTGGAGATTTATCTAGATTGCCAAATGTTGAGTAGTACTCTGTGGTATGAATGTGCTGTACTCTAACCCTTGACCTGTCAGAGGACATCTGATTGTTTGCAGTTTTTGGCTGTTACTCACAAAGCTGCTATAAATATTAATATAAACATACAGTTTTATTTTTCTGAGATAAATGTCCAGGGATAAAATGAAAGTTGCTTTGAATGAGGATTATTTCATCCCAGAGAATTGCTCTCTGACTTCAACTGTTATGAATGGGCTGTTGTGAACGGAGTTAGTAGCCCAAGAGAAAGCATTTGGTATTTCAGATGAACATATAGTTCAAAGGAACATTATTGTGCTTTAATGACTTTCGTAACAATTAAGTTTCTCTTATGTTGTTACAACTTCTACTCTGTTTTGTTTTGTTCTTTTTGGTACTGGGGATCGAACTCGGGTCCTTGCGCTTGTGCAGCAGGCAGTGAAACCACTGAGCTAAATCCCCGGCTCTACTCTATTTTTGAAGGGTGTGAGATCCTGTAGCACAATTGTTTCATGGAAGTGGAAATATATGACACAGTTGTCAGTCAGCTTATCCATCTCTTATTAGGAATGTATTCTGCTCAAAGATGTATTTTAAAATTCTATGTTGGTATGATGTAATTGCAAGATAATAGTTCTATAGTTTATTATAACAAATTACTTCTCAAAAAGATTGTCAGTCAGCAACAATTTTCAATTCTAGAAAAAGGAACACATCTTTGCTATAGGAGGGCAAAAACGGAGGCAAAAAGATTCTCAAAATATAAAGCTAAGCTTTTGTCACTGCCAAAAGGGAGATTTTGTTTTGTTTTTTAGCCAATTGCATTTAGAACAGGCATATAATGATTAAACAATAAATAAATTTCAAATTTGCACACATAGTTAATATTTTAAAGGATACAGTCAAAATTCCCGTAATGGTGAACTGGCTTTTGTTCCAAAGTAGTCTTTATGCTTCATGGGGTTTTGCTTGAAATTGCCTTAGCTTATCAGCCTAAGGAAGCCATGACATAGGGAGATCCAAGTGTCCCCTACCATCTGTTAGAGCCAAGTCCCACAGCCATGCCCTTCAGGGGATTTGTGGTCAATATAAGGGGTGAACAAAATATACAGTTTGTATTTAAATTTAAAAATTTGTTGCAGTAAAAGACACATTGTCTTGAATCCCCCTCAAAATACTACCCCTTTCTTCAAACACATCTATCCCATGGTCCTTGCCTCTTTTGGAAGCAGTTCTGGAGTCCTCTTTCCTGAGTGTCTTTACAAGATGGGATGCAAGGTACAGTGAATGCTGTCCAGTGCCATCCAACAGAAAGGCAGCTCGTAAAATCATGACAGGCACCCTCACCCACTGTATTTCCCCGATCCGGCACCAGGAGACCTGGGTTGTTGCCATTAAGAAATCTTTGTCCCAATCTGACAGATACTAAAATACAATGACACAATATTTTGGAAAAGTAACTCCTTTTAAAGAAATGCACTACAAAGAAAACCTCTTGGAGAATTTGACCTAGTATCGTCCTACTTGATGAATATACAGGTGTATGAAGCTTAATCAAAGATTTGGTGGTGAAGTTGCTTTTATTTATTTATTTTTGGTATCAGTGTAGATTTCCTTTTTGTTATTGTTTTTTGTTTTTGAAGCAAAACATTTATTGGTACATTTTAGATACACATAATGATCATCGTTGGCAGCACTTTACGAAAGACGTAGTTTATAGTGGTTTCCTTATTCATGAGGGAAAGGGTGTGTATACCTAGAAAGATCAGAAGCATGTTCAGAAAAGAGAGGGAGATTGTTTTGCCTTCACTTGTTTCTGTTATATCCTGTCCCTTTCCGGCAGGGAAGGATAAAAATGTGGTGATTCATTAAGACATGTTAGCCAGGAAGTAGTGTCACTATATCCATTTCATGTTTAGAAGCAACCTTGTAGAACTGCTGCTGAGACAGATTTAATCAACAGGAAACAAGGCTTGAGGCGCTGACAGATGAAAGGAGGTAAAGTACTGGCAACATCATAATTAAAAACTTCTGGTGATTATTAACTGACCTTATTGACCATCTAAGTGCTTTGTCAAGATTTTTACATTATTGTCACATGGAGGGTGCTGTCTCACTGTCCTCCCCCAAGGATGAAGACCTCTGTAGGCGGGGCTTGATAAGGCGGCATAGGCCCAGCCTGGACACCCTTGTGCTGACCATACCAGGATGCAGCTGTAAGGATTCTGTCTCTGGACAAAGGCTGTAGGTCACTTCAGAATCTCAGCATATCTTAAGTTTCATGGATAATGCCTGTATTTCTTCTTTTAAAAATTAATTTTATTGGTACATTTTAGGTATACAATAAAATGACATTCATCATTGGAAATTTGCACCTTTACATAATCTCTCTTGGTTCTTATTTTTTCCCCATTTCCCTGCCCTCCCTATTTACAAAGACTTTATTTCAATTTTTTCATTTTCTCATATTAATTCCATTCCCTTCTTTCCTTTCCCCTACTCCTCCCACTTCCCCTTTCCCTTTGCCCCTTTTCTTCCTATTTCACATTATCTATTATACCTTTTAGTCCTTATTTACACTTTCAGTTTCTCACACTAGAGAAGCTATTTGGTATTTACACATGTATGTCCTATTTATTTCACTTAAGAGTATCGCCTCAGTGTGCATCCATTTAACTATAAATGTCTCTAATTTCTCATTTTTATGCCTGAGTAGTACTCCATTTTACTACAAAAAAACACATTTTCTTCATCCAGTCTCCAGTTGAAGGGCAATTGGGCTGCTTCCAAGTTTTAACTATCACAAATTGTGTTTTTACGATAAATGTGTGTTGGATTTTGTCAAATACTTTTTCTGCATCTATTGAGATGATCATATGGTTTTTGTTCTTGGCTCTATTGATATAGTGTATTACATTTATTGATTTGCATATGTTGAACCATCCCTGCATCCCTGGGATGAATCCCACTTGGTCAGGGTGTATGATCTTCTTGGTAATCTTCTGCATTCTATTTACCAGTATCTTATTAAGGATTTTTGCATCTGTGACCATTAGTGAGATTGGCCTATAGTTCTCTTTTTCGGTCGGACCTTTCTCTGCTTTGAGGATCAAAGTGATGCTTGCTTTCAGAAATGAATTCAGGAGTATTGCTTCCCTTTCAATTTCATTGAACAGTTTGCGCAGTAGTGGCAGTAGTTCCTCGCTAAATGTCTTGTAGAATTCTGCAGTGAAGCCATCAGGGCCCCAACTTTTTTAGTTGGTAAGTTTTTAATTAAATTTTCAATTTCATTGATTGATATTGGGTAGTTTAGAATTTTTAGGTCTTCTTCGTTCAACTTTGGTAATTCATACGTATCTAGGAATCTGTCTATTTCTTCTGTATTTTGCATCTTCTTGGCATATAGGTTCTCAAAGTAGGTATCGATGATCCTCTGGATGTCTGCTAGGTCCCTTGTAATTTCACCCTTTTCATCCCTAATTCCATGGATTTGACCTTTTCTTTTCTTTTTCTGATAAAGTTGGCTAAGGGTTTGTCAATTTTGTTTATTCTTTTGAAAAACCAACTCTTGGCTTCACTGATTTTTTGTATCATTCTCTTATTCTCCATTGCATTGATTTTTGCTCTGTTCTTTATAATTTCCTCCCTTGTATGAGCTTTGGGGTTGTCCTGCTCTTCTTTTTCTAGAAGCTTGCAGTTTAGCATCAGGTTGTTTAACTGAGCTTGCTCTGTTTTCTTAATATGAGTATTCACTGCTATGAATTTCCCTTGTAAGATTGCTTTCATTGTGTCCCATAGATTCTAATATGTTGTATTGTCATTGTCATT